ATGTAGCTCAATATCCTCAAATAAAATTTTTCTTAACAAAAAAGTTTGAAAAATTCGTGTCAAAACTTTTCTATTCAAAAACAAAGAAACATCACATCTGCATTTAAAATTCGTAAACGAGGTTCCATTTGATTTTAAGAAATAGTGCCACAGCAACTGAGAAATATCCTCACAAAAAGATTAAAAATTGAAAGTGGCGGCAAACTTCAAACTCATGGCTTATTAAAATTTAAGCGATGAAAACTAAACTAAGTCTAACAATATACTGTTACATAATTTGTTAGGTTTTTGAAATCGGATGAAAAATAAAAGAAGCTGTTAATAGATAAGGGCATCAAGTGCGAAATAACTGTTGTTTTAAATAAATACAAAGGGAGAGTTCAGGAACTATACGAAACCTATTTTCATGTTTTACTCGACCATAGCTACACCAATACTGGGTTTTGTTTCGGGTGTGTATGATGCCTTTTTTTTCGTAGCACCGTGTAGTTTCAACTCAGTTTGATCCAGCCAGATTGAGCGTTTTAAAATGGTTTAAACTAGATTTGAATTTAAAACTGCCCACTGAGTTTAAACTTAGTTTAAACGACAAACAGAGTTAAACTCGAACTGAAAAACTGGCAGCTAGTCTGACGGCCTCTTGAAAGATAATGGCCCATTTAAATTTTGTTGAACATGTTCCTCTATGACGGGCTCTGTCTATGTATTTATTATTAGGCAGCGTTAACAAATCCAACTAGTTAGTTAGTCGACCGTATCTACATACACAGATACCGTATTAGATGTGTCGCATATCAAATGAGTATCGCCATTAGCGCATTTTGGTTATTTACTCTGGAACCAAAGAGCGATTCACTTAAAAGGCAATTAAATTCGCAGCCACGTAGTTTGTGGTCGTTCAGTTTGCACCCAGTAACGACGAAGTGGCAAACGATCAACGCAACAGCCAGGCGCATAAGTGCAATTACAACGACGCTTATAAATACCCATCCATACTTGCTTGTATGCACCTACCTCGTATGTAGATGCGGAAGTACGAGTACGTAACCATGTCTGTTACGTTGCAACGATATGAACATTAACGTTCACATATGACTATGTGCAAGTGTTGGTTAGAGAGTGTATTAATATCCTTCTTAACTCCCGTCACGCCAAAGAAAAGACATCCTCGTGCCAGCAAGCGAAGTAAACTTAGCAAAAACTTCAATGGCGCGCCTTTCCGCATGTTTGCCACACTCATATTATGACAGATATGCAGTTTAGTTTAGTTGTTTGCCAGGGCAAACAAAATTATTGACAGCATTTGCCGCTAGCAGCTGCTGCATACATATGCCACATTTGCAGCAGCTATATGTTGGTACATACATATGCACATTAGGGTGGTTCAAAAACAGTAAAGTCGGAATTGTAATGCTCTCACCCCTTAGGATTGTTCTAAATCGAAAAAAGTATACAATTATTTTATTTATTTATTTTGAAATCAAAAAATATTTAGAGGTCGCTCAAAGCGCTCAAAGTTCTCGATGTATTTTTATATGGGGAAAAACATCTTTTCGTAGAAATGGTATAGAACTCTTGAAAATCAATATTTTTCGATCGGAAGACTGTGGTTGTCTTCAGGAGACTTTCAATAATAATACCCATTTCTTTATTTAATAATTTTTTAATACTAACGATTTTTAATTGGTCCGCCCATTGCCTTTTTCGGGGTTTTTGTGGGTTTTTGGTGGACCTATAAATTATAGTTGCGATGAAATATGAGTTAAATAAACAAATGGGTATTATTATTGGTAATCCCCTGCAGATAACAAGGATTCGAAAAATATTGATTCTTAAGAATTCTATACCATTTCTACGAAAAGTTGTTTTTTCCCCATATAAAATACATAAAAAAATTTGGGCGCTTTGAGCGACCTCTAAATATTTTTGATTCCAAAATAAAAAAGTTGGGATCTATTTTTTCGGTATAGAACAATCCTTGGGATGAGAGCCTAAAAATTCCGACATTACTTTTTCACATGCATTTTTTCGGTCCACCCTAATGTACATACATATATACTTACATACAATCTATGTGTCAGCATATGTTGGCGTGTGTTTGCCCCGTAAATAATTTTGAGGAACGTGTCACTTTTAATAACAACTCTACTCATCTTCGTTGAACTTTCGTGCTACGCCTCCTTGTGTTATACATATATGTACATATACGTATGTATGCGCGCACGTGAGTACAGCTAATGGCAGGCAACCTGCATATTTCAGCAAAGTGTCAATTTTATGATGCATTGATGCAGAATCTGAGGCAGGTGCCCACAGCAGGCAATCATTTTTCGCCTGTTCCATCTCTGTTCTCTCTGCCATACGCATAAGTATTACACCATCAAAGTACGTACTCGCACTACATAGAGTCTCGTTTTTAATGACTAATCGCCTTGCAGATGCTTTCATATAGACATAACGATTACCATGCAAATGCAACGCTGTTGTTGTGGGTTTTAATTAGAGCGTTGCTTACTAACAGCTAAACACTTAAGTTCATACCAAGATTAGCAGTCGGTTAGAGTTTGTTTAATTGTATTGTCGGAAAATTTCGGGAAGTTTGAAAATAGGTAGCTAAAATTACTTATAAGTTTCTGACGAAATAAGTTTAAAAGTATTATATTTAGAGATCTGTTATGAGTTCACTGGCATTAGCGATCAAATTGCTATGATTCGCATCAAAGCTAAAATCAACAAACAATAGCCTCATTTATGCGCGACCCTATTAAGCTGGCATTTCAGGGTACTATTTTATATATATATAAGGAAAATTTTAAAGTTAGGGGGGGGGGGGGGGGGCTCGAGTACCCCCCTGCCCCTACCTCTCTACGCCCATGGATCAGTCCACAGTCCATAGCCGCTAAACCAAAACGTAGAATACGTGATATTATCAAGAGCACATTCAAGTTAAAAACGGTACATTGAATATTCGTTTTGATTTCATTGCATCAAATTTAATAAATCAATACAAATACAAATTATTAAAAATTATCAATATAGTAGCGGAACCACATTAACTGCAGTCATATGCGCCATGAACTAATAAATATATGCCAGGTCGAATATCTTCTGTGAGCTAATTTTTGACTAGCGCCATCTGTCATTACTTCGATTCATTTTTATTTCGCCCTACAGAAATTTGCGTTACTTTTAATACAAATTTAAGTCCCAATGTTAGTAAAAGTTTTCGTGTTCGTGCTCGCCTTCGTATTGTCTTCGTCTTTGGGCTTATGTATAAATTAGCTATGTTCGACTTTTAAAACAAGTTGCAACCTTCCTACATATCGTTTAGAAATAAAGTTTTTCTTAAAGCCATTTTGATTTATATCCATATTGTAGTAATGGATTTTACCTAACGTTGACATTGGTTTGGTCTTTGTAAACAGGTGGCAACCCTGTTCAATAGAGTTTTAAACTAAAACTTTTTCAAACCATTATCTTCTGATACCCATATTATGATGCATAGTTAAATTATCTAATTCCCTTAACTCCTTAACGCTCCAGCTCTGAAAACATTCAGCACGGTTTGCGATGCTTGTAACAGCCGAAAAAGAAGGAAGAGAATTTCCTTTAATCTAGGTGAATTTAGTCTTTAAAACAGGTGGAAACCACCCCTACATTTAGTTTAGAAACAGAGTTTGCTCAAAGCCATTTTGATTGATATCCACATTATAGTAATTTCTTTAACCGATTGCATATATTTAATTTAAATTTCTAAATAGGTGGCAGCCCTCTTCAAAATATTTTCAAACCACAATATCTTTCGTCTGACACCCATATGATAATACATATTTAAATTCCCATTGCCTTAATTTAAGCTATAATTTATTTTTTAAACTGATGGCAACCCGCATATACATATTTAATAAAGCAGTAACGAATTTTCAAAACCATTTCGATCGATATTTTAAGAACTTATTTAACTAACTAAATAATTTGTATTTAATTTTTATTAAATTTTTTTGCAAAAAATATAACGTTATTGCAAATTCACAGGTCAAGCCTTTTAATTTGATTCCTCGAACCTAGGGTACAGAGCTGATGATTAATAAAAAAAGCTTTCGCGTATTATGCATACATAAATGTACATTCATATCAACATTAGACTGTGCCAAATAAAACGACAATTTTTTTTTTTCTTTCGGTGCCTTAAGAAGATTTCATTGTCGGTCACAAAAAAAAGCTGTGGCTACCCCAGATTGTGTCGAGAACTCGACTGCTCGGTTTCTCGGGTACCGAAATGCTCGAGAATGTGCGAGCAGAAATCGAAAGCCCTACTTTTTAGCCCATTTATGGAAGCGAGGTATCTATGTATATAGAAAAGTTTTTCATTTGATTTTTTTTTCGTTAAAATTGGCAATTAAGTGGAAGTTTCATACATAGCTCTAACGCTAAATTTGAAATGATAATGTTAAACTGAACCTCATCCAGCCCGAGCTGCAGGAAAATGCTAGTTTGCTACATTTTTTATTGTATTTTTTAAATTCTGCATTATTTTGCGGTCGAATAAATAAAAAAATTAAAAAACGCCTTTAAGCAATAATTCGGGGTGCCCCAAGATTTTAGGTGCTCCACTTTAGTACTGCTTGAGTTTGTCCTGCTCTTTAAGGCTCGAAGTAGTCGCACGGTTTGCAAGCGCTATCGACCACGAAAGTCGTACTAGTTAATGAAGCGATATTTTGTGTCTAGGAATTACAATTGTCCACGCTGTCATACATTTTACACTTTGATAAGTATAGCACATACGTATGTATGTAAACACAAATGAGTACGTATGTATGTTAGAGCAGAAAAATTACAGAAAAAAGCACAAAACTTGCTCTAACATTCGATATTTGCAAACCTCAAAATTCGCCTAACGAAAGTACCAAATCGGCCACTTAATGCATGGCTACTCGCTGCAAATGCTCCAAATTACACAATCTCTACTGCACAACAAAGTGCCGTACGCTTCCACTTACCTGCACTCACGATCCTCTTTACAATTCTCTGCCACCGAGTGACAGGACGGTGGCGGGTGGTAGTATATGCCATTTGAACCTTGCTGATTACTGTTATCGGCTGGCCTTTGTGCACAAGTTGGATGGAGTTTTTCCTGTGCAATCATGCACATGTCGTGACGATTCGTTGTTTTTCTGCAAAGTGGAAGCAAAAATAAAAAATTAAAATTAAGAAAAATTTACAAAAAAGGAATTCCCACTCAAAAAAAAGTAGAAAATCATAGCAAATGAATGAAAAGGTAGAAATGTTCGAAATGCTTGAAGCGTAAGCGATTTCACTAAAGTGCAGCATCAAGACTCGAAAGCCACGAAGCGTGTAGGGGCCAGATAACTAGTAAGAATGTTGTAAAATCAATGTGACACGCACACAAGCGTGTCAGCCCGAGGCTTTGCTGCAGTTTAGTGCACGCAAGACGTTAAGGTGAGACAAAGGCAAAAAACGACACATACGAATGAGATTTTGATTTATACATACATACATACATAGTACTGGCGTCATTCAACTCTCTAAGCGGTACTTACTTGCAAAGGCAGAAGGCAATGTCCAAATTCAAATCCTCGTGAGGACCTTTGTAGAAGGCTTGCAGTGAGGTCATGCATGCATTGCGATTGCAACGGTGCATTTCACAATGCATCAACATTGGCTGCAGAGACGACGAGCATGACGCGTCCTCCCGACATGTGTCCAATGCAGTGTGGCAGGTACTCTGCACCATCGAAACCAAGCCACGGCCGGTGGGGCAAGGAATGGCGGCCGACCAGCATACAAGCAGTCATCAAATCGTTCAAGCGACCAAAGTCACGAAAGCGCCAAATGACACGCCCAATGCGTGTACGCATTGTTGTTGGTTGGTTGGTTGGTTGGTTGGTAGTTGGTTGCATGCGTCATTGATTACGAGTTGGTGGAGGTGATGGCGGAGCGGCAGCAGCACCGATGCCATTGAATGGTTAGGCATGACGTTGTGTGTTGACAATTGCATTCATAAAATGGTCAGCAAGCGCACGCAGGTCGATCGTAAAGTGGCGTGCATCCACAGCAGCAACGTAGGTGGAAATGGGTAGGAGAGTACGATAAAAGATTGAAAGTAAGAAAAAAGCAAAAAAAAGTCAGTTACACAGTTGTTAAGCATTAAAGAATCGCATGCAATCGCAATGCATGCGAATTGATTGCACCAGTTGGTTGCAAGAATAATAATGTGCGCCGCAGCAGAGCATAGAAAACCAGCAGCAGCGATGAAGTGCAACAACAGAGTGTAAAAATACTACAGATAACATTTTCGTATGCCAATGAGGCTGCTGTTGCTTGATTCAGAAGCTGCTGATGATGTTCATCTATTTAGACAATGCCACAAGCTATGTGCCACAGGGCGGCAACTTGATGCAACTATGCATTTTGACTCACCTGAAAGTGTTGCTTGATTATTTCCGTTGAGAGGTCCACTTCGACATCCTGACCACCTGATGAGGGGTGGGTGTGAACGCCGCAGCCAAGTACAGTGTACAGTGCGTCGGAAGCGTAGTGGGAGGGAGCGAAGAAAGGGCAGAGTAGGTGGCGAGGCAACCGCCCAACAGAACGTGTCCAAGTGAGCAGCAAAGAGTTTTTTTTTCGTTTTTTTGAAAATTTGTTCAGGCATCGATTTATATTTGTAAGCCAAATTGGAATTTTGGATTTTGATTTGTGTTTTTTGTTGTTGTTGTTGTTGTTGGTTTTTCGGCAACAATGTTGTGTTCGAAAGTTACAAGTCAAATGTATTTGTGTTTTAATTAACATTTTTGTTGTTGTGTAGGTTGGGAAAGTTGTACATATATACGTTGAAATGGTAGGATTTATGCGTTATTCGCGCGTCGTTTGTAGTTCACAGACATTTTTTTTTTTTTAGTTTGTTTCGTGATGGTATTTTCAGTAATATTTTCCAGCATTTGTAATTTATTTTTGATTTGTTCCGTGTTTTTTTTTTTTCAATTAAATTTGCGAAATGCAGTTGATGGAGTGATTTATTGAGATGCAAATTGTAGAGAAAACAACAAAAACGGAAAAAATTAATAAATGAGACATTTTTTCTTCACTCATTTGTTTTATTAACATGAGTATGTATCAAAAATATTCAAATATTTATTCTTTCTATAAAACAAAAGCGTTCAATTGATTTATTTTTTTTTGCTTGTAAAAACCCTGTAAATAAATCCTGAAATCGATATGTATGTACGTGTGCGGAATTATGCTTTACCATCTCATACACATACCACTTTGTTTTTGTGCTTTTTTTTGCCATTGGTTTCAGCGCAAGTTTTTATCGCCTTTCGAGACCGCATAAAGCGCGATAGTCAAAAAAATAAATAATAATAATGCAAAAAAAAAATACGCAACCACAGTAGACGCTGTTACTTTTCATTTAAATTTGTAGAAAGTAAAAACAGTGTAAATTTCATAGTGCAATTTAAAGTAAATACTCGTATAAAGCCTTCAAATACTACCAAAAGTTGTCCATGGCGCACTATGTTCTATTTTGGAAAAAAGGCACAAAATCAAATATCTAGAGTAGGAGGAGAGATATCTAGCAAAATTATAGTTTCGGCATTTTAAAGATTTTAAGTTGAGGAAGGCAGCGGAAATAGTCTCGTTCGTGGCCTTTAAAATTACCTTTAAAAACAGAAGGTTCTTCATTTCATTCAAATTCAAAAATTTTAGTTTGGAAGTCGAGTTTGAGATCATGGTAAATTTTCATAAAATCAGACCTTTAAAATGAACATCAAAAGTAAACGTTTTTGACGTAGAATACGTCTTACCTTAAGGTATGGGGGCTATGTTCAAATGTTGTAGTTGTAATTTTTAGAGCTTCACAAAAACGCTTATTGCACGAGAACTAATAAAGCGATTTCAAAGAAAAGTGTGGCGTTTCAAAGATAAAATTCCAAACCTGTCGACAGATTCATTTTTGTAAATAACCAATTCGGTTTCTGTCGTAAAAACAACGGTAAACATTGCCTTATTTTGGGGTCAATTTTGAGCCTTTAAAGTGCTCTAGCAACTTATTGTTGATATATATAACTTTTATTTTCGGGATATAGGTTCTTTGGAGCAGTAGAAATATTATCGGGTACAAATTTTATATAAATTTAACAAATATTGAGCATTTTAAGGCAAAAAATTGTTGAAAAAATTTGCAAATTTTTTTCATTACCAAAATGCTCGAAAACCGCTCGAATGATTTTGTTTTTGTTTTCTTTAATCAAAAATTCAAGAGTTTTCTTTTCGTTTGGTATATGGGAAGTATTGGTTGATATCTTCTATATATGTTTATTTTATTCAAATATATGGGCATAAATGATTTTCCATACAAAATCACCTCGTCATCATTTTGCAAACACGTGCACGCATTGGAAGCGTGAGAAGGAGACAAAAAGTATGTATGTGTCCGTAAGTACATATTTCGGGGTTTATCGGTATAATAATCGATACTTTGTCGGTTTTATTACCGATGTTTTTATCGATTTTGCTATCGAAATTTTTATCGATAATGTTATTGATTTTGCTATTGATATTTTCGGAACTTATCGATATAATGATCGGTATTTTTTCGATTTTGTTATCGATATTTTTTCTCGATTTTGTTATAGATATTTTGTTGACTTTGTTGTCGATTTTGTTATCGACACTGTAATCGATTTTATGATAGATTATTTATCGATATTTTTATCGATTTTGTTATCGATTTTATTACCGATATTTTTATAGATTTTGTTGTCGGTATTTTAATCGATTTTGTAATCGATATTTTTACCGGTTTTGTCATCGATATTTTTATTGATTTTGTTTACGATTTAGCTATCGATATTATTAATGCTTTCGTTATCGATATTTTCATCGAATTTGTTATCGATATTGTTATTGGTTTTGCTATCGATATTTTCGGAACTTACCGATATAATGATCGATACTTTTATCGATTTTGTTATCGATATTTTTTATCGATTTTGTTATCGATTGTGTAATCGATTTTGCTATCGATTTTGTCATCGATACATTTATCGGTTTTGTTACCGATATTTTTATCGATTTTGCTATCGATATTGTTATATATTTTTTTATAGGTTTTATATTCGATATTTTTATTGATGTTGCTATCGATATTGGTATCGATATTTTTATGGATTTTGTTATGGATTTTGTTATCGACTTTATAATCGATTTTGTTATCGACTTTGTTATCGATTTTGTAATCGATATTTTGATAGATTTTGTAATCGATTTTGTAATCAGTATTGTTATCGATTTTGCTATCGATTTTGCTTTCGATATTTTTTCGATTTTGATATCAATATTTTCATCGATTTCTTTATCGATGTTTTTATCGATTTTGCTACCGATAATAATCTCTTTTGTTATCGATACTTTTTGCTTAGTGTGTGCTTTTGTTTTTTTACTTGGATATGCTCTTAACCATACCACGTATTCTACGCTTAAATTTAGCGGCTGTATCTCCGATACAGCCTGCAGACCAAGACGAAGGCGCTGGACTGTTCCTTTTATTTCTTTTACAATTTTTTTTTTTACTTAAAAACAGTTTGTAATGAACTTAAAAAAATTAATATACCTTTTTTCGATTCTTGCCAGCTTGGAAATGGATTGCTTGACGCAGGAATCGCCATAATATGTTAAAAAGTTAATTGCATCCTGTTTCCGGGGTAAAAAAGAAAAGAATTTAAAACCTTCTATTTTGAAGGTAATTATTTTGTCCAACTGTACTATTTTTTCAAAATTTTCCATTTCAAAACCTTTAAAATACCGTTACAGTTATTTCGCTATCACTAATCATGCTACATATACATACTTATTTGATTATATCCCCTTTTTTCCAAAATAGAATAAAGTGCGGCGCATACGAAATATAGTTCCGTCTTTTTTTTTAATAATAATTAAGAAATTGCAACGAATACCGGCTGCTTCAGTCTCGCAATATCGTGATATATTTATCACACCTTTCCAAAACGAAGACCGCTTCTATGTAAACGCTTTCAGGAATCACTTTTTCAATAAGACCTTTTTGTTTTTTTGATAAGACCTTTTCTTGGCAGTTCCTCAAATAGTTCTGGCATTAAAAGGCTGCCAGGAAGGCATGTATCACAATAGACGCGTCGGTGCATGGCTGTAAATAAAAAAGAGCATGGTATCCAGCAAGGGAAGTCTATCGCTTCAAAATATCCGAAATAAGGGCTCCCAAAAAGTGTTTCTAATTTTGTCGACTGGATTGAAAATTCCACCCGCTAGGTGGCGCCGGAGTTATTTAGGAAATTCCTATATATTATAAAATTCATAATGCGCCAATAGATGACCTCTTAGTCGAAATATTTAGAAACCCCGTATGTCTTGTCTGATTCGGCCCTGTGTTTATGTTATACGATTTTACTTTTCATATCACTTACTACTTTTTATTTCATTCAAAGAGCAAAAAACTGTGTAAGCGCACCTTTGCCTCACGCCCTCATACAACCGAAATGGGAACTTGCGTCTACTTCCGCTTAAAGAAATTGCTTGGGGCGGACGTTACTGCGACAGTAAGACTCAGAGAAACTAGTTGATGGATCAAAGGATTCTTTGGTCATTCAGATATTCTAGGCGCATCACCGCGTCACGGGTGTATCAAGAAGAAGTATTTGCTATTTAGGACGCAGACGATATCTTGAACAAAGACCCAGAGCAAACAAACGAGTATTTTTCTCCTATCGCAGTCAGGCAACTGCCGAGTTGGCTTGGACATATAAGACCACATATTTCCAAGAAAGAACACGATAGGTATAGCTTCTCTTGAACGATATTCTAGAATGTACGGGGAACTTTTTGTCCTGTGAAACAGCGAGAATTCCTATTCCTATAACAGAAAACGCACATCCGTGCTCTTCAGTTTGCTTAAAAGAAGATTTATTGGCTTAGTCCTTTCGACCCGGATGGTACATATGTGTACCACTTAAAGTTTAAACATCCCTAGAAGTTTCTAATTGAATGTTTCTGGATTGTGAAATGTACCTTATCGTCTCTAAGGTTTCCTGAATGCATTCCTAAAGGTTTCGTTACATTTGTTTGCTGTTTGTGTTTACGACGCCGTTATTTGTGAGTTGCGTTCCAGCAAAATTGAAACGCGTAGTTGGTTTTTACACGATATTGAGTGCTGAAGCGCCGAAAATATTGAAAATAAAGTAGAACTGAAGTTTTTACGAATTTTGACAATTGTGGCAGGTAAGTATTTATAAAAAAATATTGGTTTTATGGTTATTTTAGTGAATGGTACCTATATGTACCATTCGTCCGGTATGGTGGTACATATATGTATTTATAGTCCGTTGGGTAGTAGATATTGCAAATCCCCGTTTTGAAGAAATTTTGTTGTTCTTCAAGAAAATGGATCCTGAAGATATTCGAAAAATTCAGGAAGATTAAGCTGATAGTGCTAGCGATTTAG